GTCGTGGTTAGTTGGTTGGATACGTGTGCGAAATATGTTTGGTTGGATTGGCTGAATGCAAGTATGTATAGTGTTCAAGTGATTGTGATATGTTCTCGAGCTATTATTGCATTATCGTGATTTGACTATTGTGCAGAGTTGGCATATGATTTGATGGCGAGGTAAGTACATTTATGTGGATTTCTATATGTTGTTTGTTAGACTGCATGTTGAGACTTGTCTGGATATGCATTGGCTTATGTGGGGTTTAGGTTGTCTGCTTATTGAGATTTATTCTCATTGTATTATAACAAACCATTTTAGATCCCCAACCCCGACCTTGACCATGCCGCCTCGGCATTTTGGGGTCCCCGTGTATACTGCGCACGATGAGACCGAGTACCATGTATGTCCACAACAGACTTATATTAGGCACTTTACTATAGTATAGGCAAATGTGGGCTTAGAGGACTTGCAGCATCACACTTACTTGGTGTGGTTCTATCGTGACGGGTTGGAGACGATCGGCCCAATCCGTGATTTTAAGGGACAACAGCATGGAGGCGAGGATGTTGTGGATTGGGAGCCCGTAGACAAGTATGCTCCTGATGGCTAAGTCCTGGACCCCGAAGATCCTCTGGAGAACCCTAGTCCTGAGCCTGAACCTATAGTACCTGAGCCCGTGCCAGAACCTGTGGATCCCGAGCTAGAAGAGCAATTTGAGGAGTCCGAACCAGAAGAAGAACCTGAAGAGGAACCCATGGAGTTTGATCCTGAAGAGGAACCCATGGAGTTGGAGCCCGAGGAGGAGACGATGGTGTCGAAGCCCAAAGAGGAGTCAATAGAGATTAACTCAGATACGGATTCCGAGTCTGCAGGGTCTGATTCAGATTGGGCGTCGTAGGGGTGTTTGGTGCTAGGCTTAAAATCTTTTGTTGTAAAGCGCTTTTTGTGTAGTTAGTTTAACCTACCCGATCACTTGTTCCTTTTTTATGATGATGGTGGATTTTAACCCTAGGAGCTTAATGTCTGATTGTTTGGCCGAATGTTGTAAGTGACTGCTTTCTATTGTTATGCAATTATTGTTTCGTGTTATTACTATCCCTTTGTCATTGTTAATTGTCTGGGTGCTTAAATTTCGCTTCCGCTTATGTAAGTCTTTGGATGTTTCGTTTGGGTCAACAACACGTCCTGGAACGTCGAAGGGGTGTCGCGAGCCCGTTGGGGTTCGGGGCGTGACAGATTTTATGTTTCTAAACCAAAAATCAGAACCATTTCTAAAAGAACCTATTTCTCACTTCAAAACACATCTCTTCCTAAATTTGGCCCCGGTTTGACCTGGTCAGACCGATCCAAACCGGTTTAGTCCGCTTCATTCTCGGCAGGAAAATAAATAAATTTAGAAAATTTAGAAAAATAAAAAAATTCGTAAAAAAAATTAGAAAATTCGGAAAAGTCTTAAAAATCTCAATATTTTTTTTCATAAATTCCATAATAATTCCAGAAAAATTCATAAAAATTTCTAGAAAATAAAAAAAGTCAGATTTCGAGGAAATAGGAAATTTTTTTGAGGTTCACAAAATAGCTTAAAATACTTGTGGCCACCCACTTTGAGTGAAATTTAAACTGTTTGAGGTGCCCAAAAAAATCAAAAAATAAAAAACTTCAAAACTTCATAGAATGGCTTAAAATACCTGTAGCCACCAACTTTGAGTGAAATTTAAATTTTTTGAGATGCCCAAAAAAATCACAAAATAAAAATTTTCAAAACTTCGCAGAATGGCTTAGAATACCTGTAGCCATCCACTTTGAGTGAAATTTAAATTTTTTGAGGTGTCAAAAAAATCAAAAATCAAAAATTTCAAAACTTCACAGAATGGCTTAAAATACCTGTGGCCACTCATTTTTAGTGAAATTTAAATTTTTGGGTAAATTTCATTCAAAGTGGGTGGCCACATGTATTCTAAACCATTCTGTGAAGTTTTGAAATTTTTTATTTCTTGATTTTTTTGGGCATCTCAAAAAATTTAAATTTCACTCAAAGTGGGTGACCAAAGGTATTCTAAGCCATTCTTTGAAGTTTTAAAATTTTTTATTTTTTGATTTTTTTGGGCACATCAAAAAATTTTAATTTCACTCAAAGTGGGTGGCCAAAGGTATTCTAAATCATTCTGTGAAGTTTTGAAATTTTTTATTTTTTGAGTTTTTTGGACACCTCAAAAAATTTAAATTTCACTCAAAGTAGGTGGCCACAGGTATTCTAAAGCCATTCTATGAAGTTTTGAAATTTTTTTATATTTTTATTTTTTCATTTTTTAAAAAAATTCAACATATTTCCTATTTTCGCTAAATCCGACTGTTTTTTATTTTCTGGAAATTTTCAATTTTTATGGATTTTCTTTTTTTTTTTTTGATTTTTAGGAATTTTCCCGATTTTCTTATTTTTTTATTCCATTTCTAAAAAAATGGATTTTTGTTCCGGGAAATAGAAATTTGTGTTGTTATCAAACGGGTTTTTGTTTCAAGAAATAGAAATTTTATGTTGTTATCAAATGGGTTTTTTTTCCAGAAATAGAAAATTTTAGTCGTTATCAAACGGGTTTCTTTTCTTAGAAACTCGTCCTAGAAACAGAAATAGAAAAAAACTATTTCTGTTTCAGGAATTCCTTCTGAAACATAAATAGAATTTTTCTATTTATGTTTCAAGAATTCATTCTGAAACAGAATAGTTATCATTCGCACCCAAAATTTACCAAACGAATTTATGTTCTTTTTTGTTCCCAAGAACAAAAAAATAGAAACGGGTACTGTTTGGTCGGTTAGGGGCTGTTTGGTCGCTCAGTAGCATAAACAATTATACGATATCTGCTAACCTTTCGGTTATAGGCATACCTATTGCCTGATCAAAATCCCACCTTGATCCTCCATGGTTCCCCTCGTCGCCAGGAAGTCCATCTACAGAGTTCAAAATAGCTCTCAATTAGTTGGGTTCTCGGCTTACCAAAGTGACCTTTGATTCTCATTCAAGAACTAACTAAATTAAAATTGACTGGACCGTGACACTTGAGTGATTGACCAGCCATCGCAAAAGGCGTTTTCTACTAGAAACCTGACGAGTTCCAGTCAGGAGGGGGTGGGACCGATCCTCCGCATCAGAAATCATCTTAGACCGTTGCTTTCTATTTATTTAATGAATTTATTAAATACGAGGGGTCTACAAACTACACATCCATCATAAAGTTATAGAAGACTTTTCGATGGGAGTTATATAATTTTCAAGGAATTTATTAAATTCCTGCACTGAAATAATTTTACAGGCGTGGAAGCATTGGAGAGCCGGCATGCCACTTGAAGTGTTAGATTCGTTCATTGGCGACTCATTTTCAATAGATGAAGTGCTTAGATGCCTCCACATTGGTTTACTAGGTGTTCAGGAAAATCGAGCTGATAGACCCACCATGGCAAGCATAGTCCTTATGTTCAGCAGCCACTCTGTTAAGCTTCCACGGCCTCGACAACCAGCCTTCTTCCTCCAAAGAAGCATGGAAAGACAGTTGAAAAAACTCAAGTCAGATGAATCCACCGGTAGGTCTATGCCGTGGTCCATCAATGAAATGTCAGTTACTGAAGTGCACCCTCAGTGAATCGGTATGTGAGTGAAAGTCCTTCATGACAGTCTCACAGAGAGTTTGAGATCTTTGGCCTTCCACAGGGATCATTAATGAACAATCAACAAGCACCTAAAGGCCGCTAGTTGCCATGGGATCGTGCGCATGAAGTACATAGTGGCTTCTCCTATTAAGGAACAAACACGACTACACTGAATTATCAGGTTCATCGCTTGTATAAAGGATATTTGTACTCACCGCTAGATGATTAACACGATTACAAATGTTGGCTTTGAAACTGAATTCTGTTGCATGTCGCACTTATTGGCGAACAGTCTAGTAATGTGCTGCTATCTAGCCATAGTAACGTCAAGTGCATTCGTTATTTCCGTTTAGCCATAACAAGAAAATAAGACGGCGAGTACATGAGGACAGGATTATTCATATAAAAACATGATTATTCATAGATGCAGAGCCGTGATATCTACTTCGCACAAGCATAATTCCCTAGATCAACATGACTTTGGGATACACTAGCATTGATTTGGGTAAATTGTAATGTTGTGCAAAATCCAAAATCTATAATGATAGGATAACAGCTGAAAAAATATTCATGTCCTAGAATAATTTTAGCGGAGTAATGTATTATCTCTAAGCCTATTCTAACATTTGTTTCTGTCCTTGAGAGTGTGGAGGAATTAATATTATATTAGTTGGTTCACAGGCTTCACATCTCATTGGTTTAAACTTTGAGTGGAGGTGAATCCAAGTGGACGTGTCATTGATAGGCTTGGATGTCGCCTCTCTCTAGATGATTGCTCCGTATATTTAGAGAAAGAGCCTAGTGGGAACAAGGAAAAACTTATCAGCTTTCTCTCTCTCTCTCTTTTCTTGCTGGAAATTTTCCACAAATTCAAATTGATTGTTTTCTCAATAAAAGTTCACATCAAACTCCTCATTTTGTCAATTTCATTTATCTTTTATCTTTCGCTTATCTAACAGTTTATAAACTCGAAAAGGAATTAAAACGCGTCAATTAGAAAAGAGCACCCAATATCTAGAATCACCAAAAGTTGTGTATTTACAAATTCGCCACCTTGATCCTCCATGGTTTGCTCATCGCCAGAGAGTCCATCTACAACTTCCAAAATCGCTCTCAATCAAGTTGGGTTCTCTGCGTACAAGTGGTCTTAGATTTTTTGCTTCTATTTATCTAATTAATTAATTAAAATACGTGGGGTCTAGAAACTACACACCCGTCATAAAGTTGTAGAAGACTTTTCGATGGAGTCATGGCGTGCAAGTTCATGGAACCTGTAGGATGGAGAAAACTTTTGGGACGACAATTCAAACGTTGTTGTTCCTATAATTCTGTGCCGATCCTGCTAAGCCAATACAATCATCAATCCAACCATGAAATCTTGCTTCGCCGTCTCCCTCTCTCTTTCCTTCTTCGTCATCAGAATTTTCAGTACTGAACTTAAACCTATTTACGTTGGTCATAATTGCTCAAACACCGCCCTCTTCACTCCCAACTCCACTTACCAGTCAAACCTCGAGACCCTCCTTTCTTCCCTCTCCACCGCCGCCATCAACAGCTCCAATGGCTTCGACAGCGCCGCCGTGGGCCGAAGCCCTCCGGACCGGGCCTACGGGCTGTTCCTCTGCCGCGGCGACCTCAGCCCCAGAATGTGCGGTGACTGCGTGGCCACTGGAAAAGTGGAGATCCTCCAAAAATGCCCCAACCAGCGAGTCTCCGTAATCTGGTACGCTGAGTGCATGTTGCGGTACTCGAACCAGCCCATCTTCTCGGTCATGGAGCGAGAGCCGTATGCGAATGCGTCTAACACCGAGAATGTCATCGACTCAACTCGGTTCGCGCAGCTCCTGGGAGAAAAGCTGAATGACGTCGCCACGAGGGCTTCGGCTGGCGGGTCAGCGAAGACGGTTGCGGTGGCACAGGCGGACTTCACGAACTCGAAGAAGTTGTACACACTCGCGCAATGCACTCCGGACTTGACAGCTTCAGACTGTGACACGTGCCTCCAGTTCGGGATCAGCAATCTGGTTCAGGAGAAGCAAGGTGGGAAGGTGGTCACTCCGAGCTGCAACGTGAGGTACGAGTTATACGCCTTTTACTACGCCAGCCTCCTGCCGGAGCCAGTGCCTCCGCCTCCCGCTCCGATAACCGGACGTAAAGGTACATTTGTGTTTTTATTGCTTGTCTTCCTCCGTGCAACTCTCCTTTTTATTAGATCGAAGACTGGGGCCAAAATAATAACTCAAACTCTATATAAAAAATATTTTGCACAAGTGGCTATATACATCATTGATTTGAGAGAGCAAGTAGTTATAATCCGTAAATTAAGAGTGGATTAAACCACTTGTATAAATTTTCTTTTACACCTATGCTTTAGTTTTACTTAAATTTCTCCAACAATAATAACCTATGAACTTTTGTCGATCCATGGATAATGATGCTCCCACAAACGTCGCATAGTGACTTGAATAAGCGCGTTATAGCTCAAATTGTGATAAATTTGGTGAATTTTGATTGGATCATTTAGTTTGTAGTATTTATATTGTGAATTTAAATTCGAGGGCTTTCAATAGAGTCTAAACGAATTTTCCATGTTGCACCGAAGAATAGTCTTACTTCTGTTCGTGTTTGTCTTGTCTTCTCTTTATTTCTAGCATAATTACTTTTCGAGTTAACGTATGTTTTTTTGTCTCTAACTCTTTTCGACGTAACAATGTTACCTATCCACCAAGTTAGTGTTTAATGATATGGGAATATCTAAAAATACACTAAGAAAAGCAACCTAAAAAATGTTTGCACGTTGGCGCATGTTGCTATTTTTTTCGTAAACACTTAGAATGATATTAATTTTTATCAATCTAAAACAAACAAAATTTATCTGACATTTTAATTTTTTTACTTAGTTTAATCAACAGTTTGATTTAATTAAATTTCATCTTTTAAATTTTCGCAATGAGAAATGTAATTGTGATTTCATTTTGGCAAATCTTCGATGAGGGCTTTTTTTTATCCAGTAATCTCATTATTTATATGTAAAAGACAAATGATAAGAAATAGTTTAACGGTGATATGCACAACAAAAATAAAAATTTGTAAAATTTTGACTGTGTTAATGAAAGTTGTTCATGATCAAATTTTTCTGGATTCTATCATGGTAATATTCACTTATTAAAATCTATATGGTCACACATGGTAATACCACTTGTTTTTATCGATAAAGACATGTTCTATATTGTGGAATAATGCACTTTTTTTTCCTTAGTTATTTTGAACTTGTTTCTTGTTGGATTTAAGTTTATTTATATATTTATTTAGGGTAAGAGAAGGGGACAAAGCCGAGTTTTACACCATCACTTTTCTAATAAAATCTGATCCAGTCTGATAGCAACCTATCCATTCTTTGATACTCGAAGTGGACTGTGTAAAATCTCGGGTGTCCTTATAACTTGTTGATTTCTCTAATAATTCATGTTAGAGCTAACAATATAATCTAGAGGGGGTGAATAAATTGCTTGAAAACTCAAGAAACTTGTCCCATGACTTAAAAGCTGTTGGGAGTTCATAGGGGCCGTTGCCAAGGTTCAAGCTGCCCGACAGTCTGTTTTCATTGGCAAAAGCATGGTTTCCCCAAAATAGAATCCGCTGGTATTTTTATGTCAGCTGTTCATTCTAACTTACGACCAAAACAATCAACTCTACTCTGACTAATCTGTAGTCCTCTTGCTACAGATTCCTAGCTTGTCAACGGCTATAATCGATCATCCTTAAGATGAATGGATTATTAGCACATTCTAGGAGTTGATATTTGCATGATATGTTGCCCCTCAGCACTTGACAATGGCACGTGCTCTTGTCATTAGTCCATTGGTGTTCAACATATTTCTTTCAAAATGACTTGCGATCTCTTATCCAATGGTCTTCCTAAGCATATCAGTATCCAGAGGCTTTACTTGGATGACCACCTAATCTTGATAGCTCCAAGTCGTTACGAAATACTTGCTATATCAGACTTATTTTGCTCTTGTTAAGGTTATCATCCTTGTAAATGTCCTTAATTGAACTAAACGGAGATCAACGATATTATCACAGCCTTCCTGAAATTATCACCACTTAATCAGAATAAACATCTGCATTTATCTAGTAAGTATTAAACTGCAAGATCCATTAAAATACCATATAGAGTTTTCCCGACAATATTGTTACCTTGTGTTTGATATTAAACTGCAAGATCCATTAACTACTGCACTATTTCACAATATTTGGTATCAAAGTTAAAGTTAGGATTTCTAAAATTGATTTAAGAGTTTTGTATGATCATTGTCTGGAATACTATATATATGATTATGTACGGAGCAAGAGGCGAGATTGAGGAGCTCATCAGAAGTTACAATTTTGGGTTGTGGAGCATTAAGATATGTGCCATGTTAACAATCCAAAGTTTGGTGAAGCCGTTGGACGGTAAGGATAAGTTACCAGAAACGATGAAAGGGATCGATAACATAGAGTTGATGGGGAAGTGGAAGAGCATAATCTTGTTTGATGTGTCAAATGAGGTGTTGATGAGGTGGTCAAAGAGAAGGATTGATGTTTCAATTCCAGGTGGCTGAAGGTACATCAATCAGAGCCCATTTGGATGAGTTTAACAAATTCATGATGGACTTGAAGAACAACAATAAAGCCTTTCTCGATGAGAAATAAGGCATGATGTTATTAGCATCTCCACCAAAACTTCACTAATACCCTTCTAAGGGGGCTCACTACGATTTACATGAAGATACAAAGTCCACCTTGTTTCTATGAAGTGGCAAAAGAAGTGGCGAAAAAGATGATTTCACGCAAGATACGATGTGACATCCTGAAATTTGTCAATTTGGGATTTATGAAATGAGTGGTTTTATGAACGTACTTGTAGATAGGTCTCGCTCGGAACTGATCATTCCTGGGATACTAACCGTTAGGGAAGGGCTAATTAGGGATTTAAATTCGTGCGACTAAAGAAATTCGGTCGTGAACTGACTTTCGACCATAGAATCGTCGAGGTGACATTTTGAGCCAATGTAGGCCGATCTTAGGATAGTTATGGGCCGGTTCATCATTGTCATACGAGTGGATCACGGGTGATTCCGTTTGACCACGATGTGAGTTGACGAACGATCCAGAACCTATATCAAACGATCGCGCCCGTCGGAACTAGCGATCGATCCTCACGATTACATTGACAACCGAGGTCGTCACGATCCGAATGAACTTGCAGGTGACTTGATTTAGTATCAGTCATTGGTCGAATATGCGAATTTTCCCAAAAGCCGCCCGTTAGTATGAGACACGCTCAAGTTACGTTATATAAAACTCAGTTCTTAATTAGAGACCAAATTAGACATCAAAAATTTAGGAAGCCACTACAGGACATTTGGACGACGTTGTTATTGGAATGTTCAGTCTTGGAATTGTCCGAATCCTTCAGAAAAACTGAATTTCGGCGAAGGATGGAAAATAACCATTTTACTCCTGGAGCTTTGTTAAGGCCAAGTGTTATTGGGGAAGGGCATTTTGGTCATTTCGCCCTAACTTTAGAAATGACAATTTTTGGACAATTTTGCCCTTCGAATTTTATGAAATTTCCAAATTACCCTTGGATATTTTTGGAAAAGATTTGATCTCGGCCGTCGATCTCAGGATAAGAACGAATCTCGGCCGTCGATTGAAAAGTAGAGAGAGGGGCAAGATGGTCATTTTGGCCATAAAGGGAATTCAATTATTGGGTGCATTATTTAAACCCATTTTCTCTCTCTCACCTCTCATTTGTCTCCCCTCTCTCACGGCAAACTCTCTCTCTCACCTCTCATTTGTCTCCCCTCTCTCACGGCAAACTCTCTCTCTCCCCTCTCCCCCTCACCGATCGCCCTCTCTACCTCTTGGCCACGCCGCCGCCGCGCCACCGTCCGCCCGATCGCCGTCCGCCGTCGCCGAAATGCTCGCCGTCACCGATTGCCGCCGGGAGGCCGCGGACCGCCACCCCATTTCACTCTAGCCGAGCTAGCCTAGAGTCCAAGTAAGTCGCAATCTAACCCTTGCCTAGGACATCGGGTATTATCGGATTCGTTTAGACGCGGTTTAGGGTAGTTTAGGGGTTGATTAGGGTGTTGATCATGGTTGTTGGTGGCTGATCATGGCTGTTAGTGGCTGTTGCGTGTTGGATTAGACATCTGGTAATGAGTTTTGTGGGTTGGAGATCCATGGGTGTGAGCTAGAACTTGAATCTTGATTGTTTGGTTCAAAACTCGGATTCGTGACTACTGTACCCGTCCGGATTACTATTTTTATGGAGAATTTTTTGGGCCGAATTTGAGGAAGTTTTCTTCATGAAAGTTTCTCCCAACATCTTGAAGTATAACATATTTTAAATTTGGAATATTTGGAGGTCATTTCGATTGCACGAAAACCCATTTTCAGACCGTATTAAAACTGCTCGGAACACTGTTCATCCCGACCTTCTTGTCTTGCCGAATTTTTATAAAATTTTCCAGATCTATTTTCAATAAACTTCCTTCACAAAATTTGTTGGTGACTTTCGTTTCTATGACATATAAAAATTTAAATGCTTTTCAAGGTGATTTGGGTGTTGAAAGAAAAGTATTTTGAGGACAAAATAGTCTGTTAGAGCGAACTGATTCTGGTCTGATTTCGAGGGACAAAAAGGCATGGTTGCATATTGAACCGGATTTCGTGTTCTTCATAATAAATGATTATCAAGATGTTTTTTATGATATATCCAAAATTTAGAATTTTTGGAGTTCGTTTACTATTTATTTTGATGAGATTTCGGTCACTGTGTAAACTGCCCAGATTTACCCTAATTCTATGGATGTTTATTTTTTGTGAGCGGAATGGTGAGGGTGTCGAGGTTGAATAGTTGTTACCCTCGTGACTGGAATTTATGCTTGAATGTGTGTTATATGAGTTGATTTGAGGATGAAATGAGAATATTTCGAGGCTAGAGTGAGACTGAATAGAGTGTCGGACGTTGTGGGATGGAATTGACGAGCTTAGGGCTCGATTTAAGGACAAATGGTGTCGGTTTGGTGTGTGGTAGTGTGGCTGGATTGTGGTGTTTAATATGCTTGGAAATGTCGAATTTATGCCTATGAACGTGGCTGTGTTTGTAGGCCCGTGAGTGGCCTTGTGTGCTTATTGTACCATGATTTGATGGATTGAAATGTGCTTTGTTATGTGCACGCTCGGGCCGAATTGAATTGATTGTCAATTGGCCGTGTTGGATGCTTATTGAGCATGAGAAATGCGTGGTTTGATGCGTGCACGGGCCAAGTGTAAATGGCCAATATGTTGGCATGTGAGTGTTGAGCATGTGAATGAGTGAGAAAGCGTGTGTGGTGCGGTACGTGTGATAATGGAAATCCCTGAGGCGGTATCATTACGCGAGGAATTGATCCGTCCTGAGGCGGTACGACTACGCGGGATGATGCCCAGTATTACCGGAGGACGGCCAACCTGAGGCGGTACCATTACGCAGGTGGTGTCGTAAGTGGTAGGTGTTGAGCCTGAGGCGGTATCACTACGCGGGCAAGATACATGGCCTGAGGCGGTACCATTACACGGGCCGAGAAGTGTTGTGAATATAGCCAACCTGAGGCGGTACCATTTCACAGGTTGTGCACTAGGTGACGGATGTTGAGCCTGAGGCGGTACCACTAGGCGGGCAAGATACATGGCCTGAGGCGGTACCATTACGCGGGCCCTGGAGTGTTGTGATAAGTTGGTCGCAGTGAACCTGAAGCGGTACCATTACGCGGGTCACTGGCGAGTTGGGTGGAAAAGATGTGATGAAACGGGAACAAATGCATGAAATGTCATTAGAACATGCATGTGAGTGGAATAGTGATATTGTAAGACTACCGTGCAGGTTGCGTGTATTGAGAATCAGGTAAGTACGATTGTGTGGACGTTGTTTGTGTGTGGCTTGATTCGGTGTCTAGACTTGTCTAGAATACGTGGTAGCCTAGATAAGATTTAGGTTGTGTACTTATTGAGAAGTGTCTCATGGTTGTATCAACCAAACTATTTCAGAGCACCCGCCCGAGCCATGAACCTTCCGTCGCCGTCGCCGCCGCCGCAGCGTTTTGGGATTGTTATGCACACTGATCATGATGTTGTTGAATACCCGATCGAGATTGAGGCCGATTCGGAGTCATCGGATCAGCATGTGCCTGATGAAGATTCGGATGAGGATTCCGAAGTGAGTGAGTCAGAGTGGACGCCATCTAGAGGGCGTAGGAATTAGTTTTGGAGTTGAGGAAGAGTTTGGAAGTGTCCCATTTTGGTGTAGTGCTTACCCAGGCTACTGATCTTTTTGTGATATCAGTGGTTTGCAGTTTGGTAGTTCAGTATGCATATTTTGCTTTGTGGTTTGTACATTGCGGTTGTGGCATAAGTTTATATTGTAAATGGATATCGTACTTAAATCGAGGTATAGCATGAGATTTGGTGGTTTGGCAATTTACTCTCCCTAGTACCCCTGGTAAATCATTGTCTGGGTGTTTGTTGTTTCCGCCGCGATAAAACTCTGATGGGTTCGTTTTGGGTCGGCGACGTTTCCTAGGACGTCGCACTAATTCGACCGAAGAGAGATGTCGTGTACTCGATGGGGTTCGGGGCGTGACATCACGTGTTGAATTGGTATCTGAGCGAGGACAGCTCGATCTAAGTCGGTAGAAGCCTGGAGTGATAAGGAGTGGGAACCCTGGGGTAGCCATCTAGGGTAGCGGTAGTTGGCTAGGGAGACCTTAGTGAACCATAAGTTTGTCTAGCGCTACGCGTATTGCCAGACTGTTGTGGTGATTGCTGATTGATTTGAGTGTTGTAATGATTGAAGTGCAGGTGCGTCTGGACCTGAGGTATGTACACGAAACTTATTGACTGTGATTTGTATTGTGATGGTGAATTGCCTGCTAAGTGGATTATTGTCGTAATTCACTGCCTAGGACTAGACCGGTATAGTTGGCATAGGTCTCTAATTCCTGTATGGAATTATAGCAGGTGGGAGAGTGGTAGAATTATGACGATGAGCAGCGAAGGAAGAGGTGTAGGAAGAGATTAACAGGAAGGGGTACAAGAAGGGGTGCAGGAAGAGGAGTACGGGGTCGAGGTGGTGCTCGAGCTAGAGCTATAGAGGATCCCAGAGTTGATGTTAGAGCTGTAAAGGATCTCGGACTTAATGCTAGAGTTGCAGTAAACCCCTGAGTGGATGGAATTTTAAAGGCCTTCGAGGAAGTTGGGACTTTGATGGGCAGGCAGACTTAGGAGCGAGATGTCACTATTGCCCAAGCGGTTGAGGCCGCTGCAGCTGTTGCCATTAATGGCAACAATGGAAATCAAGGACAGGGACAGGTAAATGCGAATCGACTAATGCATCAGCTAGTCGAGCAGTTTTTGAAGTTAAAGCCTCCTAAGTTTGATGGTAGAGGCGACCTTGAGGCTGCATCACTTTGGATAGAAGAATTAGAAAAAGCTTTCGACGTATTGGGGTGTACGGATGAGGAGAAAGTAACGTTAGCAGTGTATCAGTTGCAAGGAAATGCAAATGATTGGTGGAAAGCCACCAGAGGAAGAGTGTTCCCGGTTAATACCGTCCAGACTTGGGCGATGTTTGTGGAAACCTTTAATGGTAAGTATTTCTCTAAGAGTGCCCGGGAACAGAAGTTGGCGGAGTTCATGAGGCTTCGTCAGGGGTAGAGAACAGTGGACCAGTATGAGGCTGAGTTCACTCGGTTATCTAAGTTTGCCCCGAGGATGGTGGAGGATCCATTGGACAGAGCTCGGAGGTTCTGGGATGGTTTGAAGCCGGACCTTCGCAGCCAGATGATTTCTCTGAATTTAAAGGATAATAATGAGATCTACTAGCGGATTCAAGCAATTGAGCGTGATTTAGCGGATAGAGCCGCTGCTTCTGGGTCGAGGTATGTTTCGGCTAGGGACAATCAGAATCTTGGGAAGAGACCGATATCGGGAAATCAGCATTTTATTCCTTCCGCTAAGAGGAAGATTGGAAAATCGAACTGCTATCAGGGCACAGTGTGCCAGTTGTGTGGTGGAAGGCATGGGACTGGACCTTGTTCGAGTAGGAGTATTATATGCTATAGGTGTGGCGGAGTGGGCCACCAAGTAAGGAACTGTCCCAATAATAGACAAGTTAGGCCGTCTGTGCTGCCGCCACCGCCCCGAGTTGGAAATCAAGTTGGGCCGCCCTTACCCACGAACCAGAATAGGCCACCGGCTCAAGGACGAGTATATGCGATGGCTAGAAGGGAAGCTAAGAATGCGCCAGGCGTGGTCACAGGTACAATTTTTCTCTGTGATCATGCTGCATATGCTTTATTCGATCCGGGGGCGTCACATTCGTTCGTGTCTGAGCAGTTTGTTAGATTGACTGGTATGGAGTTGCGATTGTTTGATGTTGTATTATGTGTTACTACTCCCTTGAATGACAAGATTTTAGTCTCTTTGGGGTGCCCAAACTGTAAGATTGTAATTGGTGATAGGGAAGAGAGAATTGATTTAGCGGTTCTAGCGATGTATGATTTTGATGTGATAGTGGGTATGGATTGGTTGACTAAGCAGAAGGCTGTAATAGATTGTTGTATCAGGGTGATCCAATTTAATTCTGTTGGACATCGGGAATTCAAATTTGTGGGAAATCGAGTGGTAACCTTGATATCATGGATTTCGTTGCTAGAAATGACTAAGTTGTTGGACGAAGGATGTTAAGGATTTCTAGCAACTGTAGTTGATTCGACGGCTGAGGAGCCGAGGCTAGAGGACATAGCCGTGGTGTGCGATAATCCCGATGTCTTTCCTTAGGAATTGCCGGGATTGCCACCAGAAATAAAAGTAGAGTTTGTAATCGAATTGGCACCTGGGACTGAGCCAATCTCGAAGGCACCTTATAGAATGTCATTGTCGGAGTTGAAAGAATTAAAGGTGCAAATGCAGGAGTTACTGGACAAAGGTTTTATATGTCCAAGTGCGTCTCCATAGGGAGCGCCAGTCTTGTTTGTGAGGAAGAAGGATGGGTCACTAAGGTTGTGTATTGATTATCGGCAGTTAAACCAAGTGACGATTAAGAATAAATATCCTCTGCCAAGGATTGATGACTTATTTGATCAATTGCAAGGGGCTTCGATTTTTTCTAAGATTGATTTGAGAACGGGATATCATCAGTTGAGGATTAGAAGGGAGGATATACCGAAAACGGTATTCAGGACGAGATATGGACACTATGAGTTTACAATAATGCCGTTTGGGTTAACGAATGCCCCTGCTGCATTTATGCAATTAATAAATCGGGTGTTCAAAGAGTTTTTGGACCAATTTGTCATAGTCTTCATAGACGACATACTAGTATACTCGAAGAGCCTGGAGGAGCATGGGTTTCATTTGAGTAAGGTTTTGCAGACTTTGAGAGAAAACGCACTGTATGCTAAGTTTAGCAAGTGCGAGTTCTGGCTCAATCGAGTAGCATGTGATCTCTGGAGAAGGAATCTCAGTAGATCCAGCAAAGATTAAGGCTTTGCAGTCTACGGACCTAGAAACTCGGAAGATTTTGGAGATAGATGCTACTAAGAGGAAACTGGACTACCAAGTATCCGAAGATGGGATACTGAAGTTTCGTGAACAATTATGTGTGCCTGACGATGCGGAACTTAAGGAAGAGATTTTATCGGAAACGCATCGTAGTAGTTATAGCATCCACCCCAGTAGTACAAAAATGTATTCGAATCTGAGGCAGTATTACTGGTGGAATGGTATGAAGGTAGACATCGCTAAGCACATGGCTAAGTGCCTGACGTGCCAATAAGTGAAAGCGCAATATTGTAAACCCGGAGGGTTGTTGCGACCTTTGGAAATCCCGGAGTGGAAATGGGAGCATATCACTATGGATTTTGTGATGGGATTGCCAAGGAGCCAAAGAGGCCATGATTCTATATGGGTAATTGTCGATGGATTGACCAAGTCAGCACATTTCTTAGCAATGCGAAGGGACTTCGCATAGGATCGATATGATGAATTGTATGTGCATCAGATCGTTCGATTGCACGAGGTACCAGTGACGATTACGTCGAACCGTGATCCTAGGTTCACCGCCAATTTTTGGAAAAGTCTGCGGACGGCGTTGAGATCAAAGCTGTAGTTTAGCACAGCTTATCATCCGCAAACAAATGGACAGTCTGAAAAGACGATTCAGACTTCAGAGGATATGCTTCGGGCATGTGTGCTTGATTTTCAAGGTAAGTGGGAAGAACAATTGCCCTTAGTAGGATTTGCTTATAATAACAGTTTCAGCAGAGTATTAGGATGGTGCCATTTGAAGCGCTGTATGGCAGAGCATGTAGAACGCCCGTATGTTGGGATGAAGTTGGAGAGAGAAGTATGAACCGGACCTAACTCATGTGTTAAACTATGAAGAAATAGAAGTTGACGACAGGGTGTCATATGTTGATAGACCAATAAGGATCGAGGATCGGAAAGAGCGAGTCCTGAGGAACAAGACGATTCCGATGGTCAAGGTTGTATGGGAACATAACGGGACAGAAGGTGCGACTTGGGAAAGTGAGGAGCTAATACAACGTCAATACCCCCATTTGTTCGAGTAGTAGGTTGAATTGTAAATTTCGAGGACGAAATTTTTATAAGGGGGAAGAGTTGTGACATCCTGAAATTTGCCAATTTGGGATTTATGAAGTGAGTGGTTTTATGAACGTACTTGTAGATAGGTCTCGCTCGGAACTGATCATTCCTGGGATACTAACCGTTAGGGAAGGGCTAATTAGGGATTTAAATTCGCGCGACTAAAGAAATTCGATCGTGAACTGACTTTCGACCATAGAATCGTCGAGGTGACATTTTGAGCCAATGTAGGCCGATCTTAGGATAGTTATGGGCCGGTTCGTCATTGTCATACGAGTTGATCACGGGTGATTCCGTTTGACCACGAGGTGAGTTGACGAACGATCAAGAACCTATACCGAACGATCGCGCCCGTCGGAACTAGCGATCGATACTCGCGATTACGTTGACAACTGAGGTCGTCACGATCCGAATGAACTTGCACGTGACTTGATTTAGTATCAGTCACGGGCTGAATATGCGAATTTCCCCAAAAGCCATCCGTTAGTATGAGACACGCTCAAGTTACGTTATATAAAATTCAGTTCTTAATTAAAGACCAAATTGGGCATCAAAAATTTAGGAAGTCACTACAGGACATTTGGACGACATTGTTATTGGAATGTTCAGTCTTGGAATTGTTCGAATCCTTCAAAAAAACTGAATTTCGGCGAAGGATGGAAAATGACCATTTTACCCCTGGAGCTTTGTTAAGGCCAACTGTTATTGGGGAAGGGCATTTTGGTCATTTCACCCTAACTTTAGAAATTACAATTTTTGGACAATTTTGCCCTTTGAATTTTATGAAATTCCCAAATTACCCTTGGATATTTTTGGAAAAGATTTGATCTCGGCCATTGATTGAAAAGTACAGAGAGGGGCAAGATGGTCATTTTGGCCATAAAGGGAATTCAATTATTGGGTGCATTATTTAAACCCATTTTCTCTCTCTCACCTCTTATTTCTCTCCCTCCCTCACGGCAAACTCTCTCTCTCCCCTCTCCCCCTCACCGATTGCCTTCTCTCCCTCTTGGCCACGCCGCCGCCGCGCCACCGTCCACCCGATCGCCGTCCGCCGTCGCCGAACCGCTCGCCGTCATAGATCGCCGCCAGGAGGCCGCGGACCGCCACCCCATTTCACTCTAGCCAAGCTAGCCTAAAGTCCAAGTAAGTCGCAATCTAACCCTTGCCTAGGACATCGGGTATTATCAGACTCGTTTAGACGTGGTTTAGGATAGTTTAGGGGTTGATTAGGGTGTTGATCGTGGTTGTTGGTGGCTAATCATGGCTGTTGCGTGTTGGATTAGACATCTGGGAATGAGTTTTGTGGGTTGGACATCCATGGGTGTGAGCTAGAACTTGAATCTTGGTTATTTGGTTCAAAACTCGGATTTGTGACTACTGTACCCATCCGGTTTGCTATTTTTGTAGAAAATTTTGTGGGCCGAATTTGAGGAAGTTTTCTTCATAAAAGTTGCTCCCAACATCTTGACGTATAACATATTTTAAATTTGGAATTTTGGAGGTCATTTCGGTTGCACGAAAACCCATTTTCAGACCGTATTAAAACTGCTCGGAACACTGTTCATCCCGACCTTCTTGTCTTGCCGAATTTTTATAAAATTTTCCAGATCTATTTTCAATAAACTTCCTTCACAAAATTTTTTGGTGACTTTCATTTCTATGACATATAAAAATTTAAATGCTTTTCAAGGTGATTTTGGTGTTGAAAAAAATGTATTTTGAGGACAAAATAGTCTGTTAGAGCGAACTAATTCTGGTCTGATTTCGAGGGACAAAAAGGCATGATTGCAGATTGAACCGGATTTCGTGTTTTTCATAAGAAATTATTATCAAGATGTTTTTTATGATATATTCAAAATTTAGAATTTTCGGAGTTCGTTTACTATTTATTTTGATGGGATTTCGGTCACTGTGTAAACTGCCCAGATTTACCCTGATTCTATGGATGTTCATTTTTTATGAGCGGCATGGTGGAGGTGTCGAGGTTGAATAGTTGTTACCCTCGTGATTGGAATTTATGCTTGAATGTGTGTTATATGAGTTGATTTGAGGATGAAATGAGGATGTTTCGAGGCTGGAGTGAGACTGAATAGAGTGTCGGACGTTGTGGGATGGAATTGACGAGCTTAGGGCTCGATTTAAGGACAAATGGTGTCGGTTTGGTGTGTGGTAGTGTGGCTGGATTGTGGTGTTTAAT